TGCTTATAGGAATAAGCCGAAGGAAACACAGCCGCGGTTCGACCCTGCGACTCGCGTTCCTTTGTATACATGTGATGTGGTTGCCCCTCTCCTCTCCTGCTATTCTTTCTCTCTTGTGTCTTGCCCTAATGCCCCTCTCCTCTCATGCGATCCTCACTATGCTATCTCTCTCGCGATATTTGCCCTAACTCCCCTTTCTCTCTCTCGCGATTCTCACAGATAGTGTTGTGCTTCTCTCCCTCTCACTTCTCTGGATTAATTGTTGTGGTGAGTTCTTCTCTCCCTCTCCTCTTTCTGCTCTGCACTATGTTCGGATCTTTTGATCTCTGTGCGGTGGTTCTTTGTGCAGTACTTTTTGATTGAAGTTCTTTTGAGTTGTCGTTTTTCTGTGCGGCGGTTCCTCTTCGTGTCGGGTAATCTTTACCTTAAATATTTTCTTATTTTGTAATTTTTTGGAAATGTGTATGTACTCAGGATTTTTGTGGTTTCCTCTTTGCGGTGGTTTCATTGTATTGTGGTTCTTCGTGCTAGGTAATTTTTACCCTAACTATGGTGTGGCTTTTGGTTTTCCTAATGCTTTTGTGCCCGAGAAGCTGTAGGTTTCTCTGTGCGGTGGTTCTTCTTCGTGTTGGGTAATGCCTACCTTGTGGTTCTTTGTGGTTGAGAATTTCATGGTTTTTTATTTGACAAATGCTTATGTTTCGTTGGTTTTAGGTTGATGTTGGATTTTGAGATTTTTGGGAATCCTGCTTGCAATGACTCGGAAATGGGTGTTGGTTTTCGGTTGATGTTGAATTTTGGTTTTATGTTTTCTCTTTTATGTTCTTGATTTATTGTGAAAATACTTGCAAAGGGGTGCCTTTTGGTTGATGGTGGATTATGGTTTTCCGTTTGCTCAATCATTGTACCTTTGGTTAATGTTGGATTATAGTGTTGATGTAAAGGTGGATGTGTTTGTGTTGAAGGATGTAGAGGTGGTGGTGTAGTGTGGTTGGTGCGCGCGTGTGCAGGTGTGTAGGCGAAGGTGGTGTAGGTTGGTTGGTTTGTGGTGGTGGTGGTTGATGGAGGTTGGGGTTTGTGTGTGGTTGTGTTTGTGTTTGTGTTGGTGCGTGGAATTGGTGGCATTAGTGTTGTGGATGTGTTGGTGTGTGGAGTTAGTGGTAGTAGTGTTGTGGATGTGCTGTGTGTGTGAAGATGATTGTAGTGTTGTTGTGAATGTGTTTGTGTCTTGATATGTTGTGTGGAGACGGTGGTAGTGGTGCTCTTGATGTGTTGTATGGAAAGACATTGCTGATGATTTGCGGCATTACTTTTTTATTTGAGTTGGGGTTAATACTTCTTGCAGCTAAAATTTATGTTGATTAGTTTTTTTCATTTTAGCATACACAATGGTTAAGACCAAAAAGGCTGATTCATCTGTAATGTAGGATAAGGATACAAAAAAATATTTTTGCGATCTTTGCCTGAAGGAGTTCGAATTGGGAAATAGACCGACAATCTATTTCAACTAGAAGGGTTGACAAAATATTATTAAAAAATTCATGGAAAGTGCAGATAAGTAGTACGATAGGATACAGTTAAAAAATAAGCGGGAACAACTAAAAAAATTTAGAAAATCCAAAAGGAATTGAAGCGAGGATCCACGAGCTTAAGTTGGGATCCGATAAAACGATTAATTGATGCTTTCGAGTGAGGTCTACTATTTTTGCCAATTTTATTTTTTTCCAAGTCCATCAACATGTCATATGAATTTGTAGATGATGCAAGCTGTGAAAAAAATTAAATACAGCGACATCGATCCTGAGCTGAAAGAGAAGCAAGATCGTATGTTTGGTGGTTTCATGGCAACAAGCAACAATGCATGTGCCTCTAGTGAGGTGGGTTTGGTGGCATCCTTGAAAATTGACAACTGAACACGTGATTCTAATGAAAGCTCCAGCCTGAACCTCCATGAAGTTGAGTCCACTAGCTGGTCAAAGCGTCTCTGGGTTGAGAAAAAGAAAAAAAAGGAGCTACTTTCATTTCAAGTCAGATTTTACTGTTGGTCGCTTCATGCACCAATGCCCTGACCTATTACAAGCAACTTCTGTACAACATATTATGTGTATTCTGGAGGGAACTCCAAAAATTTATGAGGAATTACTGTTGTATTTGTTCTCGATGAAGTTGCTTAAAGACCCGACCCTAAAAAATTTTTTCATGATGATGACTCCTGACCTTATGTTGCATTATTTACAATTTTTTATGCGAATAGTGACATTTGATGGATAACTTATTTTCTTTGTATTCTTGTGTGACATTTGCCTTTTTTGCTGCATTGGACATTTTTACTTGCTTATGGTTTTTTACTTTTTCCATTGGGACGATGTTGAATTTGATTTGCAATTTTATTTTGAAGTTGGTTTTGTTTATAACATTATATGATTATAACTAATTCGTTGATGCTTATGTGTTAGCTATTTCTACACTGAATTACATGGATGAAAATAGAGAAAGAAGCAGAGAGAGAGTTGCAGCTATAATGTGTTTGTTGTACAATGAGCGCTCTTCTTGCATCATATCATCGTACGTTGGTGACAAATGGGTTGATGAGTTGCTTGGGAGCCACTCAACTAGGTTTAACAATATATTCCATATGACACAGAAGGTCTTCACTAGTCTATTGAAGGAACTGAACAAAAATCACGAACTTCATTGCCCTACCAGGACGACTTCACAAAATGAATTAATGTGAGGAGCTGTTGAGCGATTCTAACAGTCTTCCGAAATATTTTATAAATATTTCTTACTAGGGTTGAATGCACTTGTTAGCTTTTCATCACATGTCATAAAACCAACAAATTTTACATTCAAACAGATCCCCACAGAGATTTTGCACGATGCGCGGTATATGTCATATTTTAAGATAATTTCTTTTATTTATATTTTTAATTTTCAAAATAAATATAATAAATAAGTTACCTTTGTTTATCTTCTTAGAATTGTATTGGAGCAATCAATGTAATACACTTAGATGCATATGTTCCAAATAATGAAAAGATCGCATTAATCTATCGTTGTGGGTAACCGACGCAGAATGACATGACTGTATGTGACTTGAGCATGTGCTTCACTTGAGACTGAATTAGTCACATAATTTTTAATACTAATCGTTCTATTCACAACAGGTAAATATTTTTTGGTCAATGCTAAGTATCTGTTGCAAAAAGAGTATCTGAAGCTCTATCCTAATAATAGATATCACGTACCTGATTTTGATAGAGTCAGTAAAGGTCACGCGGGGCAAGAGAAAAATGTTCAATAAAAGACACATCTTGCGCGATGTCATTGATATGATTTTTGGAGTTTAGAAGAAAAAATGGGTCATACATCGTGATATGTCAACTTATTCATTTCTCAAACAAATGCAGATTGTAATTGCCACGATAGTTTTCCAAAATTATATTCGATGACATTTTTCACGCAACGAGATTGATTTCTGTAAGGCGGATGGGGATCATTCACATATCTCTGCTGAGATGCCCAAAACCTGCATTCAATATAGGGAAGGTGCAAGCGAGATGACGGAGTTGAGAGAACGAATTATAAATGCTATAGTTGGAGGGAACATTAATTTTTATTTATGTTTATTATAATTATTGTTGAAAATATTCACTGTTTATCATATCAGTATTTTATACAAATCATATATATTTTTGTTTCTTATGCGTTTTATATTTTATTGTATCAGTTTTTTTGAAGTAATATGTACTTTTTCTTTTGCATATATTTTTCTCCCATTTGAATGGCCGATGAGGTAACTGTGGGTGATATATGTATCCTAAATACTATGTATATATATTTTTTGTGGGTTTTGGATGTTTGATGATGAGACGTTTAACCTTATAGGTTCTTCTCGATGACTTGTATGTCGCTATTGATTAGTGTCACATGTGAAATCCTAATAAAAACAACTATATTCCTTATCTTTTTCAATGCTATGATTTTTGAGGTTCTTTTGGATGCTCTTTTTTTGGTGATATGCGTATGAGACACACATAAACTCGATATTACGTGGGTTAAAGACAACAAAGAATCATTTTGTATAAGATCCTCGGTCTTTTTGTTGTGACAAATTCGTTGGCTTATATATTGAGTTCTCCGAGACCTCACAACCACATAAAACTTTAATTAATTTCTTCAGTTATTAATTTTTAGCTGTGTTATATTTAATGGTATGTGTTCTTAAGTTTTCAGGAAAGATGAGCTCAAGGATTTTCGGTACCTTGAGAGGATTACTCTGTTAATGCGGATTATAATGTTCCCTGCTTACTTCGAGGTATACATGTGCCTAAGGAGAATCACATAAAACTGACTATTTTAAGTAAGCAGATGGTTTGGAAGATTATACAACCGAGAGTGATCGGGCGTGGACAGTTTTCCTGGTGGACGGCTTATCCCGCGGCATACATCATCTGCATTTTAAAAATAATGTTATCATGTTATTAATTACTATTTTAATAGTCATTTTTTTAATTTTGATAGGCATACTACTCATTGTTTAGGGAGCTATTTAATTTTATTTTGTAATGTTCAACACTGGATGCTTGTTTTTAAGTATAGAATGTACTCGTATGAACAGTTTTGTTGCAAACAATATTGCAATATAGGGGCAGAATTGTCATTTATTTCAAAACAACTGCAACTCATCTGTTTTCAAATTGTAAAAAATAAACAGACATTTAATGAGCTGCAGCTGCTCGATACCAAATGTATTTTAAATTCAATTTAAAACATAAACTAAACAAAACAAAAACTTAGAAAGAAAGCTAAAGCATAAATTGATACCAAGCGGCCTCTTTGTTATATGTTTCCGTTTTGTGCTTTTCCTGTTAGTTTATCTTTGTTTTCCATGTTTTCTTCCGCTTTTCCTGAAGTATTTAGCGTAAGTTTGATCTTTTGGCTTGTTCTTGATGCTTTTTATTGTTACTGAGTGCTGTAATTTTATCCTCGTGCTGCAGGGACTAACAACTGGCGGACTTCCAACTTTTATTGATGTCGGCAATAGTTTTGGAGCTCCTGCAATTGTAGAAGATAATTTGATATTTCAGGTTTATTTGTAGCAATTTGCCTATGTTGATCCTTAAAATGAATAGCACAGACTTATATTAATTCTCTACTTCAATCTTTTTATGGGGTATTTACATACATAGCACACATTTTTTATGTATTTATATATCTCAGACTTAAATTTTCATATTTATACACATATCACTCTGATGTTTGCTATCACATCAAAAGTTACTTTTTCCGCTTCTTAAAAGTGAAACACACCTTTTATTGCGTACGTCTAAATTACCAAAGTGCTATGTATGTAAATATGAAAGTTTTGTTGTGAGATCTGTAAATGCATAAGAATTGTGTGCTAGGTATGTAAATTTCCCTATTTTTAATTTCATTACTGGGAAAACAGTTAGCTAACAATGGAAAAAGAGTGCTGATGATGGGGGATGATACGTGGGTGCAGTTATTTCCTCATCATTTCAATGAGTCATATCCTTATCCTTCATTTAATGTTAAAGATCTTGATACGGTATGTGTTTTTCCTTCAAGTTTGAACTTTTGTATTGAGGTTCAATTTGGACTCTGTACTTCATTTACTTCCTTTTTTTTTCAATTTGGATTCTGTACTTCATTTACTTCCTTTTTTTATACTTATTTTGCATTTGATGTTGTAATTTTATGTGTTAGGTAGATGATGGTGTCATCAAACACTTGCTGCCTTCATTGCTTAATGATAATTGGGATGTTCTTATTGCGCACTTTCTAGGCATGGTAAGTTCGTGTTGTTTATTTTCCAGATTCGTTTCACCGGTTCCTTCTCTGATTTTTGGGGTCCCACATATAATTAGTGATTATGATTGCCAATCATGCATAACTCATTATGTTTACAAATTTTTTTTTTTGAGAGTTGACTTGAAAATTAGAACTTTGGAACACTTATCGACAACTTTGTAAATTTTTGATGTTCATGTTGACTACTTCGGGCTTTACTTCTGCCAATGCTGTATTTAGCGTACACCTATTATTGTTTAATGTTATTGGTTGTACATGCCATCTAAATCTATTCTTTATTACTTTATTACATAAGTATTGCTGGTATAATCTTTTTAGTGTAATAATTTTTTATTATTTTCATTTTAGTTTTATCAATAATACAGAAAAAGAAAATGACCGGAAAGCTTGCTTTATTTATTTCCTTTAATGGGTATCTATACACAAAATAACCTAGAAATTAATTAGGAACTATTGACTATGAAGGATTTAAGAGAAAAATTGCTATACTTGAATCGTATTGTAGATATATTCAAATAAAATATTTTGGATTGCTTCTATTTAATTTAAGTGACGCGGTTCTATTGGAGTAATGTGTTTTGTGTTTTGGTGAATTTAGGTGACTGAGTTTATCTCACACTCTATCATAGAGTAGGATACCAGAATGGGGTTTAGATTTATATGCAGTCAGCTAAATCAAACAAAGACTTTTTACCCTGCGTCGACTGGGAGGGCGGTCGTCACGGGGTTTGACAGAAAATGAGCTTGCTAGTACCCTTTCCCTGAAGCAAATAGCTCATTTCCATGGCTTTTTTTAACTTTTATGTCTACTCCGACCTCCTTGCAAAACCTAAGTGCTAGAGACCTCCAAGAATAACAGATGAAGTTTTTATATTTTTTTTTATTAAAAATTTGGCGTATTTTTAGATGATATGTTGATATATTCAAATGAATATTATAGATTGCTTATGCTTAACTTAAATGTTTCAATTTTATTGGAGTACTGTGTTTTGTATTATGTGATTTTAGGTGGCTGAGTTTATCTCATGCTTTATCCTAACGATTAGGTTCTAGAATGTGTGTTGGAAGTATATGCAATCAGTTGAATCACACCAGAGAGTCAACTAGAGGAGTGTGTTATCATGGGGTGTGATAGAAAATGAGGTTTCTAGTCTCCTTTTGATGCAAAACATCCGAATTGTGAAAGTACTATCGTACTCATATGACTTCTGTAATACCACGGAATAAACAAATCCCCGCAATTGCGGGAATTGATTTAGGCCCAGGATATCTCCCGTTCGCTATTCAACACTTTTTTTTCATTTTTGGTTTTTCCTATTTCTTTATTTCTAATTAGGTTCTTTTCTATTGTGAGACATTTATGTATGTATTTGGCTGTTTTTGGAGACGGACTACTGTTAATATGTTTAGAGACGTTCTCTATTTTATGCTCTAAGGAGTGTTGTATCATCTTTCTTTTACAGCTGGTGTGTCTATATCTTGTTTAGGAGCAGGTGGTTGACTCTTCTTCGCCTATTGCTCTTCGTTGTTTTCTCATTAACCTGCTTTTTTAAGTCCAAACAGCCGTCAAACTGCTTGAATTGGCTTTCCAACAATATATTTCAGCCGCCGATGTTGCCAACCGCCTTCCAACGCAACTCCCATATTCTCATTTCCTTGTCTTTCCCCAACAACCTTCCCACTAAATCTGCTTCCCGAACACCATCGAGGAGCCCTAGAAAGGTATCACCTTTATCTGAAGAAAATGGCTAATTTCCACAATTTTTTAACTTTTATGTCCATTCCAACCTCCTTGTAGAACCTGAGTGATGGAAACCTCCAAGAACAAACATTTGCTAGCCATTGTTTCAAAATCTCTATTCTTTTAATCCATTGTTAAAAACAACCTCCATGTCTAAATCGCCTTTCTTTTAATATTCTTGCTAAAGAAGCAACAACAAACCTACAAAAATTGGAATGTCAGAAAAAAAAATTATATCTATATAAATGAGATGATTCACATGATGATTGCAATATTGTTGGTTTTGGTGAACGATCTCCCCTAAGATCTTTCCAGAATTTTATTCTGAGACATGCTCACCAATCTATAAATGGCGATGGTATTATCAATCTTTGAATAATTGTGATAATTCAATGCTTTATTTTTACATTGCTAGGTTGAGATATTTCTCTCCATATAATATTTTACCTTATCTAGCAGCACAAAACGTGCAGACATGGAGAATGTGTTATGCGCCACATACCTCATCTTCACCCGCCTTTTTAGGTGCAATAGTCCCCACTAGTGTGGTCCTATGCTTGAATTTTATCTGAACTTTATGCACTATGCACTAGCTTGAGTGTTATAGTGCACCATCAACATGAGGCTTGTTAACACTGTTACCCTCTTCATCATCAGACTAGCCTCTGATTTTCGTTCTACTCAGATTGAACTTGACAAGACTTAAAGCTCCTTGTCAAATTTTGGTGCCATAAAATTAAAATGATAAAAATTTTGTTTAACATTTATATAAGGCCTTCTAAGATAGAAAATTTATTTCAAAAACTCCTTGGATGGTCTGTTTATTGGACAGAGTTGTAACTTTTATTTATTAGATTCAATTTTCCATGTTCTAAAGATTGAAGTTGAGACTACCTGGACCATAGAGAAATTTTTTTGGAATGTTTTTGATACAATTACATCCAAGGAATTATTCGTTTAAAGTTTTCACTCCAAGTCTAATTTAACATATTTAGATCAAAGATGTATTGGGAACAATACATATGTATATGGAAAGACTGGAATAATTAGATTTAAGATTAAAGCTTTACTTTGGTTTAGGATTAGAAAACTTAGAACTTGAACATGAAATAGATTGATCATGGGATAAAGGCTTAGTGAGGATATTACCTGGAGGGTTCATGGATTCTAGGTAGTGCAATTGATTCTTAAACTCTTTTTTTAGTTGTCCTTTGTCGCGAGTGCACATTATCAAATGAATCAATTTTGTAATTCTTTTTCCAATTTTCTCTTTGTTAGTTGTTTTATGATTATGAATATCATGAAATGACACTATAGGAAGACCTGAATCATCTTCAATATCTAAAAAGCTTAACCCACTATCTCCTCATATAATATAATTTGGATTTCCAGGTTGAACGATCAAGGTTGAGGAGATGCTATTTTGTGATTCTTCAATTTGCTGAGGTGAAAAAAAATGTAATTAAAAAAAGGTGACATATAACAATCATTTTTTTTAGAAACAGGATCAAAATATTTATACCCCTTTTGGGTTGGAGCATAATTAACAAACAAACTTTTTAAGCTCGGGGTTCAAGTTTTTTTTTCCTTTTTTATGACTATAAGTGTGAAAAAATATTGTACACCCAAATATCTTTAAAGGTAAAGAAGGCATTAGCCAATTTATTAGGTAAATTTTAGGAAAGATATTAAAAAGTGTTTCAAAATTTAAAAATTTATCGGGTATTTTATTTTTAAGGAATGTGGCAATAAGAACAATTTCATCCCAAAGTTATTTGACACCTGATTTGTAATAACAATGTCCGAGCTACTTTTAATAAGTATTTATCTTTTCTTTCGGTCACACCATTTTGTTATAGGATGTTGACAGAGCTTTTGATGAACTATTCCTTTTTTGAAAAAAAAATTACCCAAAATATTTTTAAAATACTCTTGACTATTATCACTTAATAGTATTTGAATAGGTTTTTGAAATTATGTTTGTGCCATGGTGTAGAAGTTTTTAAAAATTATTTCTGCTTCAAATTTTTCATTCATTAAAGACACCCAACTTAACATTATGTGATCATCAATAAATGTTATAATTCATTTTCTTTCAGAGTTTACAAGATATTTACAAGGACCACACATATCACTATGAATTAGAGTAAATGATGTAGTAAGGTTGTAAGTTTGTGGAGAAAAAAAATATACGATGTTTAAAAAACTGACAAATTTTACATTGGAAAGATGACAAATTTTTATTCTAAATAAACTAGGAATCAATAATTTAAAATATTGAAAATTAGGATAACTTCACATGTAATGTCATACCATAATATTATTATGTTTGGAAATAAATTTAGAATTAAACAAGTACTTTAACATCATCCTCCCAGAGGTTAGTTCCTGAAACTGACAACAAAATATTAGAAATTCAGTTGAAACTGATTATCAAAAGTAATTTTACTAATGGACAATTGATTCCAACACAAATTAAAAATATGGAGCAAATCACGAACTTGAAAATTCCCATCTCGACAATTATCGAGAGAGAACCATGAACAATTTTGACATTTTTGTTGCCTACAAAGGGTCTATAAGATGAGAAAAGTTTTGAACAACTGGTCATATGCTCAGTTACACCAAAATCAAATATCCAAGAATGAACCAAATTAGGATTAATACCTAACAATGTCGTGACTAGAGAGTTACCTTTTTCTATTGAAGAAGAAGACGGAGTCGGTGGCAATTTTGCATATTGAAATAACCTATGCATTTGCTCTATTTGCTCCTTGGTGAAACATACTACATCCAAGTTTGCAGAAAGCTTCTTAGTTTCATCAATAGTGGCTTGATATACTTGAATTTTCTGTTTGTATCTTGATTTTCAATTGACAAGTTTACCATGATGCTTCCAACATGTCTTCTTCATACGACATGATTTTTTGCAATGCTCTCACCACCATGGGTAGGGTGAAGTTCTTTCAGAGTTATTGGGAAATAAATTTCTTTTGGCATCACTCATCGTTGATTTGTAGATCATTAGAGATGAGAAGAGGATGTTACAATACTACAAAAAGATTTCGGTTGCGAGTTAATTCAATTATTAACAGTGCAGACAAGGAAAAGTCGGCGGAGAAGGATTCAATGATAGAAAAACTTGTGATCGAAAAAAAAACGGCGATAAAGAACCATAGTCCTCTTAGTGATAGTTGTAGCAAAAGGAACATGAATTTTCAAAACTTTCGAGCAAGATCCCAATTAGTCGACTGGTTTTTATAACTTCTAAGCAAGTTTCATCGTCAAAAGCGAGAAGTGGGAGAGGAATTTCTTCGTGCAAGACACACAATCCATTCTGCACACTAGAAGAAGCGTTCTAGATTGAGCGGGAACTTTTGTATGTCATGATCATGTCATTGGCTTTCCAGCTAGCTCGAAGTATGATGTATTGTGAGGTTCTGTCACGTAGCCGAGGGTTTTGGGCAAAACCTGGAGAGCAGATGGGGCATTACCGCCATTCACGATCAAGAAGGCAAGAATCGTGGCTTTATCGTGATGCCCAGTCACATAGCCAATGATTTTGGGCAAAACTGGGAGAGCAAAAGTGATATAGCCGCTGATCACTATCATGAGTGATGGTTTTGGATGAGATTTGAAATAGTTCCTTGCTACTCGTGCAATCCATAAATCAAAGCTACCAACAGAGGTTCAGATTAGCGGATTTGAAATAGCAACAAGAGAGACAAAACCCTAAATGCTCTGATACCATGTTATTTTTTGGGGAAGAAAAAATAATTATTTCACTTCAATTTCCTAAAACTCTGTTAAAAGATAAATTGCACGAGAAGGCTATCACATTAAGTAAAATTAGCCACAAAATCTCCATGCTAAAAAAAATGAAAATATAAATTACCAACAATAGATAAATTTTAAAGTAGAAATTACTAAAAATAGTAAATAATAAAAATAAAAGATACCGAAAACCAAAATTTCTAAAATTCAGACACACGTGTGTGTGTGTATCCGCGCGTGTGTAACCATTTTAATAATAAATTTGGCTCTTCTTTGAAAAGCAAAAAAAAAAAAAAAAAAAAAAAAAAAAAAGGCAATTAAAAAATAAAACCAAATTAATCACGTGTCCTTTATGTATTAATTTTTTTTTTAATTTTACGTAGGACACATCTACAGCATGTCAGAATTGTGTTAGGCATCTGTAAATTAGGACACATCTGTTTATTATAAAGGTGGGCTCATCATGAACCCTAGTTTACCAATACTTTCCTCAAGAAGAGCAAGAAACTTATGTTGCATCTCCATAAAAATGGTTTAATTCTTTATTTTTAATAAAAATTGTATTTGTTGAAGCTACAATCATCAGTTTATGCTTACATTTTTAGGAAAATTTTTCCTGCAAAGGACAACTTAAACCGATTAAAGATGCAGCGTTGCCTTCTTTTTTAGGTAGATGTGAATTTCATGATCATTCAAACTTTCTACATCTTTATTATTGCGTGAAGGTTTAAATTGAAAAATACATAACCTAGAAAACAAAATTCAGCAATAAATACTGATAGTCCTGAAAATAAACAAAAATAGGAATACTGAAGCGAAATCATTGAGATCAAAGAGATGAAGGTGAATTTGTTAACCAAATTAACATATTGGTTGAACAAATTAAATTTTCTTTTAAAATGGTATATAATATTAGTGGAGCAAAACATAAACTTGTAATTGTGATAACATAAAATGATTTAAATAATTTGAAGAATGATCTTTTATGGTGATTATCGGCATGTATTTTTTGGTCATAGATAACAGTTACAGTTCATAATCATATGTCCTTAATACCTTAAACACAAGTGATCATTGAGCTTGGTTTAATTATCTCTATCCATTAAAATGTTTATTGGTCTCCATAATATTTCCAGTCTTTTGGTGCTATATGAAATATGCGTTGCTTTGAAAGTTCCATTCGACATATTGACTGCATTTTCAACCACCATATCACTGTTTCATTTGCCTTAGGATCATGCAGGACATATTTATGGTGTTGATTCAACTCCGATGATACAAAAGTTGGAACAATATAACACTATTTTAGAGGTAAATCTTCTTGAACTTTGAAGTTCCAAAAAATATTACATGTTTTGTGGACATGTTTACATCCCGCACTCCGAAGTTTAAAAAAATATTGCAATAAAGATTCAAAGTTTGCAATCAAATTTAATTTTTTAATTTTTCCTTTTAACACTGATCTTTTTTTCTTTCAGGAAGTTGTTGAGGTTTTGAAGAACCAGTCTGGACCTGGCGGTCTTCATGAGAATACTCTCTTTATTGTGATGGGGGACCACGGCCAAACTTTAAATGGGGATCATGGTGGTGGCACTGCTGAAGAGGTCATAAACTTATGGAAGATTTACAAGCATACCATTCAATTCTTATGCATTTACATTTCGAAGATCTAATCTTCAATTTTTACATATATGGAAGATTTTGATGCATCTTACTTATGCATGAAAAGGTGTATTTCACATTCTAAAAGCTTAAATAGTGATATTTTTGAAGTAATATGAAAGATTTGGGTGTCTGACACTTATTTTTATTTGTTTATTAGTTTTTTAGGGGCTAATCATGGCATAGTTCATGCAGGTTGAAACTTCACTTTTTGCTCTGAGCTTAAGTAATTCTTCTGCTCCAGTTGCTTCTGTTCTTGATAACAACTATTGCCATCTTGATTTGGTATGCTTTTTTTCTGAATAAAACTTGCTCTTATTTGTGGCCTTGTTCTTATTTTTTGGAAATTGACGCACATGGCACACGATTCTTATATATCTACATATCTCACACCCAAACTTTCAAATTTACATACGTAGCATTTTGCTGTTTTAAACCTATGCATGAAAAGATTTATTCGAATTTTAAAAAGTGGTAATAGTGCTATTTTTCACGTGACATTAAAAATTTGAGTGCTTTGTGTGTCAATATGAAAATTTAGTTGTGAGATGTATAAATAAATTATGGGCCATGTATTTAAATGCCCCTTTGTTTTATTAAATCACATTTTATACTACTTCAATATTTAAGCTCCATGTTCACCTTGGGTAAGACATGCTTAATTGTCATACTGTAATTATATATTTTCTACATTTAAGGCTCATATCAGTCATGTTAGGTTGTCATGCTATAAAAGCTAATAAAATTCTAGAGGTCCTATGTCAACACAAAGTTAGACACTTGTAAACTATATGGTTTACAATGCTAGGCATGTGATTTTGCAGGTTTCATTCTTTAATTCTACAGCAATATTTTAAAATTTTTATATAGGGCACAAAGTTAGGCATGTAATGAGAACTATAGTATTAAAAGTCGTATGATATAATAAGAACTATAATTCTTCTCCTATTATTTGTGATATTTGATAAAAAATTCCATTTTATTTGTTTATGAAATATGTCTTATCTTTTATAATATGGTAATGTTAGTTTAACTATTGTATTCAACCCATTTTCATGTCATATTTTCAAGAATCGCCTCGTCTCATGTCATACCTTTTTGTGTTCCGATTTTTTTGTTTTACTTGCAAACTACCCATTTAGTTTTGAAATAGTTGTACATAGATAGTAGTTCATTATAGCAGGCAAATTGGACGTTTTATGTTCATTTAGATTAATTGTTGTATGGTGAGACATTGAATGTGGGGATAAAGGACTTTGGTACCTTGATTTATTGGGAACGGAGATCTTGTTAGAGGAAGAACTGCAGTGATAAATGAAAGTAGATATTAAGAAAAAAAAAATTGAATGAATTCCTCATGTGGATGGGTACAAGAGGCACAAAAAAGGATGTTGATGTTATATAAAAATTATTTTTTTTATTCCATTATCAACCATTTTTAATTAAACTAAGGCATACTATGAGTAAAGCGTTAAAATAATCCCCAAATATTTACACGGGGCTATTATAGTCCCAAAGTTTATAGAAATACCAAAATAGTTCTCATTTATTTTAATATTGGGCTCTAATAAATAGTCCTCAATGGGGACTATTTCGGCCCCAGTTTAAAGTCTCTAAGGATTATTTTGACATTTCTATAAACTCTAAAACTAAAACGGCTCCATGTAAATAGTCTGGGATTATTTTGGCACTTTATTTATAATGGTCATAAATTTTTTGTCTAATGCTGACTATGGAGCAAGGACACGAACACGGGAAATAGACACAACATTATATGACATTACAACACGACTCAATTATAAAATGTAAGACACGACATGTCATGGATACATTTCTTTCATATTTAATAAATTTTAAATATATCTTATATATATTTTCATTATTTTCTATTAAAAACATCATAAAATCAGGTATGAAATAATAAAGTTAAACTTCATAAATTTAACTTAAAATATAAAATTGCATGCTTACAAAAATAAACTATTTCAAAATTAGCCATCGTACAGTGGAAGCAGTGATTAGACGTAATTCCTTTTTGCCATATTATAGTGAAAGCAGTGATTGAAGGATTTACGGGAAAACTATCTCTTTGCACACACACAGTGTAGGTTCTACTATTTGCATCTCATATTTTCTTTTTCTTATTCTATAATTTCTAGATATTGATTTTTATGTGTTATTAAGTTTTATTAAATTTGATATAACCTGTCTTTTGACTGCAATAAGATTTTCAATCGAACATTTGGTTTTATGCTTTTGCATTATTGTGTGTTATTTCTTGTAGATGGCTATTAGATCATCCTTTCTGTCTTTTTGTTTTATTTTTGATTTTCATCTAAAGAAAGTGCTGTTGTCTAATATATTATTGATGCTTATTATCTCAAATTAACATGGTCGCATCTGTTGGTTAAATATGGTTTTATTTTCATGGTAGGTTCAAGAGCCTAAACCACTTTTATGAATATTGGTTATCATTTTCTTGACATGTAGCTGTTTCACTCGAAAGATAACTTAGGCTATACCACAATGCTTTTGGTTGTGTTGCTTATTTTTTCAAATATTTCAAAATTGCAGGATGGAAATAAAATTTGCATTGGCACCTTCCAGCAGGTTAGTTAGCTAATTTTTAGTTTAGTTGATGACATTGATCTAATTGGATCTATTTCATGGATCATTTTATCTCCTTTTATCATTTGTTCCCGCAGTTGGATTTTTCAGTTACAATGGCCTCACTCCTTGGTATTCCTTTTCCTTTTGGAAGGTGCACCATTGAAATTCTCTAAGTTTGACTTTGAAACCTATGTAGCTTTAAGCTAGATATATGATTTTTTGGATGCAATACTGATTTAAAAAGTTTATATTTTTATATTGCTTGATAATTTTCTTTTATCTTCTTAATAAATCGGATATTTTGTAATTCCTTTATGCACATAATTCATATTTTTTATTTTGAATTTGTTTTTTGCTTATGTTATTCCTTTATTCAACTATTACTCTAGTATTAAAGTTGTAATTAATTTAGTTCATTTAATTTATTTATCAATATTCTCCCTTCATTATTTATTAATGTTCTTATTTTATTTAAATCTTATTTAATTAATTTTTATGGTTACTTAAAAATTGTTAATTACTTAGCTTCACGTCTTTAAATAACATAATGGATCACAATAACTTAATTATTATTATTATTATTATTGTTATTATTATTATTATTATTTTATACAGAACGTTACCACTTAGCCTTTAGTTTTTTCTTGTTGTTTTAGTTTGCTCTCGGCTTTGCATGTGTTGCTACCCTTTGCTTCCCGTGAATCTCCTCCGCTTTTGCTTCTTTACACACATCACTTATGACCGCTCACTTGGTTCTCCTCCTACATTCGCTTCCAAAATCTTGGACTACGCTTTGGATCGTCAATTGTTGTTCGATTTGGCTCATCTCTCGTCCTTGTCCTCAGTATTACACGTGCGAGGAAAGCCCTTGCCTTTAATCGTCTCTTTCTCTCACTAGAAGAAGTGCTCGGCTTCGTACGCGTCGATACGTTCGCGGCCCTTGGATTCCCTTGCGTTCATGGCCATAGTCGGCTTGACCCTCATCCTCCTTTTATCTCTGCTTCAGCTTGCCTTGACAAACACCCTAACCTGTTCGATTCAAACCTCTAGCCTATAATCGATATCGCTTGCACTCGCCTACGGCCCTAACCGAATCAGTTACATTTCATTTGTTATGGAACCGACAACACAACTCTATTCGTCAGTAGGCCAACTATTACTTTTGAAAGCTATCATGATGTTTAGATTGACCAGCCTTTTGTGAAAGCATCATTCCTTCCCATTGATCCCCACTTATTTGTCATAAAAAAGGATAGCGACTAGTTAGTCATCGATAACGAACACAAGCATTACCATTTTTAGTTTTTTCAGTATAGATAGGGAAGGGCCTTGTTGAACGGGGCAAAAGTCTTCCAAATAGGAAGGTGAACGATGCCTCAATATTTACCACATTGAAATGGATCTGATCGTGTGCCCAATCACAGGGTCAAGAAAAAGGACTCTACTCAGCCCTTCATTTTGATGGTGGTTGGATTCTCGATGTAATGTATAGTTAGCTTTAATGCTAGCTTCACGGGTTGATGTAAGTAGAGAAAAACTAATTTGCAATAGAGCTTCAAGCTAAGAAATGTCTTTGGAAAACCGGGAATGATTCAAAGTCTTAATCTGAAGACTAGTGTTCTCACTTTATCCGCCTTGTGGCTTGTCAAGGGAGTCATGAAGGATGAAGAAATCTTTGTGGCCCATCATTTGTGAAATCCCCTCTTCTTGGGAGATGGGGGTGTATAATGCTAGCATTACAACCAATTTAAACTGCGTGTTACACATTTCATGTGAAACAAACGAGTCAGAATTGTGGAAGGGGAAGGCCGAGTCTGTTGAGTGTTGAGTAAACCGTGCTTTGTGGAATGATAAAAATATTAAGGATATATGTGTTATATAATTAATGTGAATTATATAATTGATAAATAGATATCATATATTTATATAATGATAAGTTAATTAATATTAAAAATTCTAATGCATTGAATACGATGGATAATGATGTATTAATTATAAACATGGATTAATTAATTATAAACATGGATTAATTAATTACTAAAATTTAACTAAATAAATATGCAATTAATAATTAATCTTCAAATATATTGATATTAAATTATAATTAATTATTATTAAATATATAATTAAATAAGTTCTAGTTTATCAAATTTTGTTTAAAAATCATATCATATATAATATGAGTTATCATTGTGCTTATTATCGAGTTATTTGTTGAACAACAAACAACATTGTTCGTGAACATAAATTGAAAGATGGGCCGTGTTTAAGGTTGGTTCATTTAACCTTCGTTTTTTTTTTAAATTGTTCAAACTTGATCGAGTATTAATCGAGCCGAATTTGATTTCTTAATCAAGTGGACTGGTTCACGTATATCCCCAATCACTATAAGAGAATATGATGAACACATGGGAAAAGTTTACAAGAGAACCATAAACCCTGCATTATTTTATTGATTTTTGTCTTGGGGGACAAAGAAGTTACAAAGAATTAAGTTGAGTGTGGCAAATATATAAATGTGAAGAGGGATGTACCACACGTATGAAGCATTGAGTATGAAAATAATTATTTTCTAGTGCGGGAGTATATTTTATTGAACGCAAGGTTATAAAATTAAATTTGTGTGATTTATGCATGTACAATTCACGGAGAGGGAAGAAAATCTGTCATTTAGGCAGGAATATATGGTAATTGTTAATGGAATACATAGGAAAATGGAGTAAGGTAACTTATAAATTGTGCTAGAAGGTTTAGCAAAATGTTTATTAATCACAAAACTGAAGAGCAGTGAATGGTTCACAAGGCTGACTACAAATTAATATAAATTAGGTGGTACATACATTCATGTAGGCTTGTCTTTGTGAATGTACTTATTAACTGGCAAATTCCAAGTTACTCAAGGGGCTAAATTTACAAATTTACTTTGGTGGGGGGTTTGGTTTGCACAAAAACCTTTTCTTTCTTCGGAATTAATGCTGCCATCTGCATGCTGCTAGTCATGTCATAGATTTTGAGGTTCAGATATATGTTTCATCTTCATTTGTTGTACATCAGTTAAATAAGGCATACTTATGTTTTAATATTGAAATTTATAATCAAGTGCCGTTTGTGTAACCGTCCAACCAGAATATTTTGCTTTTCAGCTATTTGGTTTAGTCTTTTTTATTTTACTCTATAATAGGAAGTTACTTGTGTTTTTCCTAGAGCAGTTTTTTTTACCGGATCCATCCTTGTTATCTTTCTTAATTTAAAGCCTTCGACCACACCACTAAATTTCGTTCTCATTAAGTTATTTGTCCTATTTTAGCATTGGGCGAGTTAATCTGGAGCTTTATGCTTTAATTCGCCGTACGTGGGAAACATGTATCAAAGGAGATGAAAAATTTGGATCTCATTCACAATTGGAGTCATGGATGCTAAACTATGTCAATAATCTTTGCGTAAACTCTTGGCAGGTAATTATTCTTTCTTCTTGATTTTTGGAATGTTTCAATGCAGTATTATGAGCTGAGTAGAATCCATTAAACATGGCCTTTTATCATTTTTCATGCTATAAATGGATTTTGCCTCAAAATTTGCCATGCATTTAAAATTTTATTAAAGAATGTGATTTTCTTAAGAATCCGTATGGGACTACTTGTTTTGCGAAGCTTGTAAAGGAATGTTTGCGAATTACAAGCTTACTTCAAATCTTGCCTTTAATGTGGTAAATTGTTAGAAGAAAATGAAGTTTATGGCATTGTTTGCTTGATAGGCTATAGAATCTGAAATCAGAGGGGGTAACTAAGTGCCAGTTCTCTATCGATAAGATAGATATTTATTTGAAAAATTCAAACTTGCACGATACTTCCAAGGAGTGGCACATCAACTAGAGATTCTCTCTACACCCATGAAATTTGCTATTTTCCCAATTTGCAAGAGTTTCACACCTAAAAGTCAGTTTATTATAATAGTTCAACCATGAAGATTTAAACTCAACTTGGAAAAGTAAACTGAGTGCAATCACTATTTGTAATGTAACATATACTTTTTAATGTTTATTTTACTATTAGGAAAAATTTTTCACATCCAGATATAGACTCACTAGCAATTTTCACTTTAAAATTTAAGTCCTTGTTTTGAGCTGTTCTCTTGCAAAGTAGTTTTATTGTATTACTTAGTTGGGTGAATTCTTAGAAAATTTTTAATGCTTGTTATGGCTCTATTATAAGTGAAAATTAGAAGGATAGAGAAGTTTTTTAGAACATAATGTACTTGAGATCAATTGAACAAAAATTGAGTATTTGATTATAAAATTTGAAATTTGTGCTCAACTCATCTAAAAAAGATGTGATTTTGGGTTATATTTTTAGAAGATAAATTGATTTTAAATAATTAACTCTCCGGAGATTTCACTCTCATTTTGGGAAGACTTTATGATTTGGTTTTAGATTTCTCATAGGTACAAATCTTTATGGTTAATTATCCTCCCGGTTATGAGGACTTTATGAACTTTTGATCAAGGCTAGTTGATAAGTGCTAAATGACTTAGCTTTTAATAGTTGCAATTTTTGTTTAAGATTGAGAAAAAATTTCACCTTTAGCTTATAGCAAATGATGAGAGATAATAACAAAATCAAAGAGGGCCACCAACAAAGGGGTTTATGCAAAAAAAGGGGTCACCAACAAGGGGTTTATGCCAGAAAAGAGTCACCAACAAAGACATTTACGCCAAAAAAGGGCCACCAACAAGGGGTTTACGTCAAAATTTGGAGACCACCAACAAGGGGTTTTCGTCATAATGTGGAAACCACCAACAAGGGGTTTACGTCGAAATTTGGGGACCACCAACAAGGTGTTTACGTCGAAATTTGGAGACCACCAACAAGGGGTTTACGTCGAAATACGTCGAAATTTAGAGACCACCAACAAGAGTTTTACGTCGAAATTTGGAGACCACCAACAAGGGATTTACGTCGAAATTTAGAAACCACCAACAAGGGGTTTACGTCGAAATTTGGAGACCACCAACAAAGGATTTATGCCAAAATTTAGGGACCACCAACAAGGGGTTTACGTCGAGATTTGGAGACCACCAACAAGGGTTTACGTCAAAATTTGGAGACCACTAACAAGGGGTTTACGTCAAAATTTAAGGATCACTAACAAGGGATTTACGTCAAAATTTAAGGACCATAAACAAGGGATTTACGTCAAAATTTGGAGACCACCAACAAGGGGTTTACGTTGAAATTTGGGGACCACCAACAAGGGATTTACGTCACAATTTAAGGACCACCAATAAGGGGTTTACGTCAAAATACAGAGACCACCAACAAGGGCTTTACGTTAAAATTTAGGGACCACCAACAAAGGATTTATGCCAGAATACAGGGACCACCAACAAGGGTTTTACGTCAAAATTTGGAGACCACCAACAAGGTTTTACGTCAAAATTTTTGGAAACCACGAACAAGGGGTTTACGTCAAAATTTAAGGACCACCAACAAGGGATTTACGTCAAAATTTGGAGACCAACAAGGGGTTTACGTCGAAATTTGGAGACCACCAACAAGTGGTTTATGTCAAAATTTAAGGACCATCAAAAAGGGGTTTACGTCAGAATACAGGGACCACAAACAAGGGCTTTACGTCGAAATTTAGGGACCACCAACAAGAGATTTAAGTCAAAGGAGACGAAGAACCGAAAAGAGTGCAGTTTTATGCAAGTAAAACTAGCTAACCTCTTTCACTTGAAATGGAGGACCCAGTGTTCTCGTGGAAGGAGACTTTGGCCCGAGGCAAAAACGACGATGGAGATAGACTGAGAGGGCTCAACCTAGCTGGGTCGAGATTTGAATTTGAATTGGTTGATTTCGATTGTTTCGACTTTGGCGGTCGTTTGATTTGAGCTACTTAGGGGACAAGTTCAAAGTCACATGGAATTAGATTATTGTTTCGTTTGTTGAATTTTGTTGTTATTTCACTTTTAGATTTTAAAACTTGTTTAGTTTTACGCTGTGGTTGACATTATTTTTGCAACTTGTTTAGTGCAAGTCATTTTTTTTTTATCGTTCCTGGTTCGTTAGTATTTGCAGAACTGAATTGAGGATTCAGCTTAACGACACTAAACCAATCGAACAATGTGGAAAAAATAAACTTTATTGATATTCTAGAATCAGGTACATCAAAACATAATCTGAATGTGCTATGTTGATAAACATCAAGTAATACATATGAGTGACATCTGTCTTTATAATGCGGTCATTGTTTGTAAGTTATCTGTGCTTCCTCATGTCAAGTGTTTGTATAAACCATCTGAAATTGTGTAGAGACTAACCCTCCTCTCAAGGCATACTCCGAGACATAAGTCTCCTTGTACACACTTAAAGGTGTGCTGTCTCACAATTCCAAAGGCTATAACCCCTCTAGATCCTGGTTAGGACGGTATCCAAATGGTGTTTTGCTGTCATCCATCTTTCTGAAAGTGATGGATACTCTCCTCCGTGGCACTCCTGGAACACAGTGTTTGGCTAGATCGGCTTCGTTTCCTTTAAGTACTAACACTAATCCAACTGTAAGAGGAATCTCTACTGGCCCATGGAATTCACCCGGGCAAACGACCCGCAACTCTTTTCTCATCATGATGTTGCATTTGCTGAGAAAAGAAACTGTGCAGAACGGTCTCAGGAAATCATGGTGGTCTATATGTGGTGGGATACAGTCTCCCTCTTCATAAATATTGATAATGCAACTGTTAGACACACAATCCGCTGGTAAGATGTGCCAAGAGACCATCTTTATAATTATTTTCTTTATTATCAAGGGCATCGGTTCACCTCATCGTGTCTTATGATGCCCGACAAATTTCCTTTCTTGTCACGAGTATAGTTGTAGTGATCCGTCCCTTACCTCGCATCCATTTCTGGGCTTCAGAATACGTCTTCTTTCTCAAACGGCCTGCCCGGCCTAAGTCTCCGAGGTGTAAGACACAATCAATTATGCTCTTCTGCTCGTCCTTCGAGAACGCATCCGTGTGCAGCTCTAGTCCTTCCAGAATGTTGACATTTTTCACGAATTCTTTCAAAGTGCTCAAAATTTTGCTTTCGAATCCTTTGAAAGTTCTCCAGCTCCTCTACTGAGATTATCTGTAGTCGCCTTAGTTTAGTAAGTCGTGGAGTGTAAGGCTTGATCTTTTGCTAATCTTCTTGGCTTTGCATTACCGGAATCGTGACGCGATTCTCGTGGGGCTTGGCTGGTACGTGTTCTGGCAAAGCAGGCTCTATCACTAGCTCGACTTTTGTCCGCTTTATTGGAGGCTGAGGAATGACATCCCCTATTGGCTAGTCAAAATTTTGCTTTCGAATCCTTTGAAAGTTCTCCAGCTCCTCTACTGAGATTATCTGTAGTCGCCTTAGTTTAGTAAGTCGTGGAGTGTAAGGCTTGATCTTTTGCTAATCTTCTTGGCTTTGCATTACCGGAATCGTGACGCGATTCTCGTGGGGCTTGGCTGGTACGTGTTCTGGCAAAGCAGGCTCTATCACTAGCTCGACTTTTGTCCGCTTTATTGGAGGCTGAGGAATGACATCCCCTATTGGCTAGTCATGTACTTGTTCTTCCTTTTGTGCCACCGGGACGCTTGCTAAAGTTGCTTCTTCGGCTATCCTTTTCTTCAAGCGGTCCTGCATCAAGAGCTTGCGACGCCCAATGTTGCGTCGTTGCGTGCATGAAAGTGGTATCTTTCTGGATGTGCCTGTTGGGACCCCCTGTAACGAAGCACTGATGAGATTTCCCTCTGTTGTCATGACCAAGGACTGCATCTGTATGGTCTTCATTGTTGGGCTGTCGACTCCCAAGATTTCTTCTTCGTCATTCCCAAATTTCCTTTTATTTGTTACTGTAGTGTTTTCTTTGCTTTTGAAGTTGAGTACTGTATTCAAACCTTTTGTTTCTTCTAAATTGACGTCCTTCGGCAGATGCCCCTCGTACTCCATCTTCACCCATTCAAAGTCCAGGTCAAAGTCTATGGTGTCGCCCACTGCCACCTTTTCCTCGTCGAGTGCGAGTTTGATGCCTTTTCTAAAGGAGAAAATCAGTCTTCCGTCTGACATTTTCCTGCAAAAGACAGGAGAAAAGTCAGCGTGCTAAAATTCAAACCGAATAGGAACAACACTTATTTAATATTAATTATTGCTTTCAAAATCTTGTTCACATTTCATTTCAAGCATGTAGATGCCAATTCATTTCATGGAGTTTCAGATTTCAATGCGAAGAGAATGTGATTTTTTTCAGAAGAAATCATTTTATCATTTCCATTACATTTCCTTTTTTTTATTTATTGGAGCAAGTTATAGACAATTGTCACATCGGCATATTTCAAGACTCGCAACTAAGTCCCTCGAAACGTCACAATGCGTAGTACTTTTTCAAATATCGTCCATTTATTGATAACATGGGCCTTTCACCCTGACAATCT